AAGTAGGTCTTTAAATCAAGCACATCAGAAATTCTTTTTGTATTAGCAGATTCTGCCTTCAGTAACATGTTGTCATGTGCTCCTTGGAAGAGCAGGACTATCCAACTGCACCCGTCCACATTTTCAACTGACTTGAAACTACAAGGACTCTAGTCTTCATTTTGTTATATGCTAAGGAAATTCTGAAAACGAAGTATCTGCTTTTCTCTGTACATGAGATCTATGCCTTCTCTACTTTACTTATGACTTATAAAGAGTCTCATTCATAAATACTATCAAGAGGTATCTCTTGATCTCTCGTCATTAACCTCGTATAAATGCAATATAGGGAGCTGGACCAAAAGGAAAACAAAATAAAATGCTTGACAGGAGGAAAAAACGCTAATAAAAATTGAAGTGAATTGGAATTATTCAACATATCTTTCTACTCTAAGAGCTCACTCAATTCCACGTCATAAAGTAAGCAACACAACTCTGAGTTACTTTAATGGTTTGGTGTCAAGACTTCTTTTTGCTTTTCACACAGAAAACCTTGCTTAGTTTACCTGTGGTTTTACAGATCACTCAATCAGCAAGAAACAACGCAATACTGGTCAGAGAAACAAATGCAATCCTGTGGCTCTAACAGTAAGTTCTGCTGTGTTATTTGTAGCTACCTACCTGTTCCTGACTTTGCCTTTCCATATTTCTGCAATACCATAACTAAACCATAATTTTTAGGTTTTGTTTTGTTTTATTTTGTTTTGTTTTGTTGAAACTCCAGAGGGGGTGGTGGTGACTGATGCGATTAGCAGGAACATTTACATTATCAGTAGCACTTCAGCCAGGCTTCCCGAGAGCAATGGGACATCTAAGCAAGACAGAGGAGCCAACCCAGAGATGAGAGGCTCTGTGCCAATGGAAGGGACTGATGTGAGAGGAGGTCTTGGGACAGAAAAAGCCAAGTGCAGCCTGTTGTGAGTATCCTCGATGTTTGCTACAGTTCTGAAGCTTTGCTAAACTCCCTCTGTGGTCAATGAATGTGTGTTACAGTCTATTATTTCTATCTTCTTCTCTCTGGCTTCTGTGCCCTCCCATCCTCCCCTGCTTGCCCTTTTCCCTTGCTATCACCACCCACTCCCGTTTCCTTCTTACTACCTCTCTTCTCTTAATTAATCAGGGAAAGAAAAAGAGAAGCTGTTCCTGCCAGCTTTGCTTTGCTGTCAAGTGGTAGTAGGAGTTCAAAGAACAAGGTTACTCCTGCACCTGCTGCTTGTTCTTTGATGCCCTGTTGTGTGAAACAGTTTCCTTCAGAAGTCCAACAACGTACTAATTAACAAAGGAAAAGACAGGGAGAAACAAGCCAAAGACTGTGGGAGGAATGAGGTGAGTGGCAATGGAGAAGATGTTAGAGGGAAGCAAAGGGGAGAAGCAGTGACAAAGGGGCAGCCGGGAAAGAAATGCACAGAAAAAGGAGAGGGACAAACAATGAAAGAGAGGAAAATAAATAAAGCAGCTGGCAAAAGAGAAGGAGACGGAACTGAAATAAAGGGATACGGAAGAAGAAACGTGACAATGATTTAAAACCCCTTTTAGATTACAGTACGCAGTCCTTACAGAGCAACTCTGAGGACAGCGAGTACTTTGGTCAGAGAGAGTTTTGTGTGGCACCGGTTCTCTCCCATGGAGCTGCTAGGCACAGCAAGCATGGGGAGGGCACTCCTACCTGCAACAACAGCACAGTGCTCTTCAGGCTGGACTTTAGGCCTATCTTCTTTTATTTAGATATAAAGAGAGTAAGTGGCTTAAAAATACAGTTCGTACGAGCCCAGCATTTCACTCACTGTTCCCAGACAAAGGACAATGCACCGTAAACAGGAGAGGTGTCCCACCACGTTGGGTCAGAGTACACACCAAAACAGGCACAAGCAAGCGCTGTGATGTGAAGGCATGGGCTCAAGAGTGTGTGGCTGGTGGGGGGTCCGGCACATGGCAGTGAGGTGACAGCAGTGATACTCCTTGAACCAGAGGAGAGGCCTGTGGCAAGACCCTCTTCAGTGTGTGGTAGGGTGCCAGCTGCACAAATCAGGGAGTTTACTTACTGCCTCTGAGGGTGGTCCAGTACTGCTGAGACCAGTACTGAAAGTGTTGGCACCAATGAGACAGAGAGATGCAGCAATATCAAGATTAGGGCTGTTAATATCTGCCTGAAAAACAAGATTCTAGCAGTGCCTATGTGAGAAGATGAAAACATTACTTAAACTGAATTTTTCATAGATGGCTGCTGGCTGTACTTCAGTTTTAGTGCCTGTCCCAGAAGCCTGATGTGCCGAAGTGCCTTGCATTCACCCCTGGAGCCAGTTGCAGTGCTTTGAGCACACCGGGTGCTGCATAACACATGCTGAAACGTCATGGGTGCCTCAACCTAGAAACTCAGCGCTTCCGCCTAACACCTGCCACGGCTCTTCATCTGCTAAAGCCTATCACGTACTGAACAGCTGGAAACAGCAGGCCATGGAACAGGTATTTGTTAGGCAAGTAACATACACCTAGTGCAGTGAACTAACGGAGGGTCCTGGGACTGCCTTTCCCCTTGTCTTCCCTCAAACCCACCAAGCGAGCTAACGAAGCTTGTCATGTGTCTTGGTTTGGGCTGAAATAGAGTTAATATTCCTCTTCAGGGACTAGATGAGTGCTGTGTTTTGGATTTAGCTTTGGGTTTGGTATGAGAAGAATGCTGATAGCACACTGATGTTTTCAGCTGCTACCGAGACTTCAAGGACTCTCCGACTCCCCATGTCCTGCCCGTGCGCCAGGGCACAGGGAGCAGGGAGGGAGCACGGCCAGAGCACCTGACCCTAACTGGCCAGTGAAATATTCCATATCATGGAACACCATGCTTACTATATAGAGGAGGGGCGGTTGGGAAGGTTGTCTCTCGCTTCCAGGATTGTGATTGTGGGATCTTGGTATCTCGGGGTCGCCGGCCGGGAACGGGCTGGATATTGGTTAGCGGGTGGTGAGCAATTATGCTGTACATTGCCTGTTTATATATTTCTTTTTTTTTTTTTTCCCCATCATCGCCATTGTTCTCATTTTATTGCCATTATTAAACTGTTCCTATCTCAGCCTGCGAGTCTCCCTTCACCCCTCTAATTCCCTCCCCCATTCCCAGGTGGGGAGGGGGAAGGGAGGGTGACCAGCTGCGTTGTGGCTGGCTGCCGACCAGGCCCAAACCACGACATCATGCCATGCAGCACAGGGATCTCCGACCTCAGACAGGATAGCTGGCCCCTGCAGCGCTGCTACGAGGCTGGTAAGCTCACCCTTTCAACGTCACTTCCAAGATTCCTGCACAGCATTAACTCTGTTTACCTGTCTGCTACTGTGAAACAGTCATCTGAAAACAAACAGGTTACCAAATTCATCTGTAGAGTGAGCTAGCACAAGGAGGCATAGCTTCACTGAAAACAGCGGGTTTCCTCTTGCTTTTGCCCGTATTGAATTTGGTCCATTTTTTCATTTTCAGGACTGTTAGACAGAAGCAGTGAATCATCAGCCCTGCTAAATCCAATTTCAATGTGTGAGACACATATGCAAGAACAGTAACTAGGTAAAAAAAAAAAAAAAACACGTGTAAGCATACTAGTATGAAAGCAAGCTATTACTCAGGGGAATTCTCTGGTATTCTGTAGAATTCTGTTATTTGGGAAATGAAACCTGTTACCTGTAGTTCATGTTAGAAATACTGTCACACTTTTCCAGGGTGACAGTAAAAGATGCTGCTTTTTTCCTTTACAGCAAAGACAGTGTCATGAACTATCTTGCAGCCACACTGTTTCTACCCTGGTTTTACATAGAGCAGTAAGCGTCATCACAGCTTTGTATACGCTTTATTCCTGAGAAATACACCACAAGGATCGTTGTGAGTAATGGAGATTAAGTGGCACGGTAGTCTTTCAGAAAATAAGCTGATATATACTCTAACAAGATAGGAAAAAAGAACTGCAGGTTTCAGAAGAAAAATGACCGAGAAAGGGACTATTGTAATTAAGCTATACCAAGTAAAGCACTAGGAAAGAAAAGGGGAATGTAGAATTCTCTTCACACTCACGAAAAGCAGACTCAGCCCAAAACAGTTCCTTGACTTTTTGGGGCTGAACCCCGTAACTGACATTATCTATACATTAAATACTGCCACATGATCCCCTAGTCCACTATGTCCAATAAAAATTACCTGCTCTCCCTTTTTAAAACGCTACCCCGCTACCGCTAAATGCCATGTCAGGGCTGGCTTCCCCTGTTAACACAACAGCCAGGGGCCTACCCATTCCTAAGGCCATTATGCTTGCACTGGCATTTTCCAGCCTTTGCTCTAGGTTTTGGTTGTGACAGATACCAAAACTGCTGAGAGGCAAGAGCCCCATTCATTTTTTTGGGTTTTCTGGTTAGCTTTCATACATAGCCCTAAAAGGGGCCATTCCTCTGCGATTTCATTGCTTGTTTGCTCTGCACTCCATGCAAACGCTCTCCGCATGGTGCTTTCCATGGAGGTATGAAAGCTCCATGGGAAGCTTTCCATGGAAGGCTACAGAGGGGGTTGGCAGACCCAGGCACCAAAGGGACACGCGAACATTCGGACCCAGCCTTCACCAGCACAGGCCGGCCTTGGCTAGAGGGGCCGCTTCCCTCACGTCCTGCTGTCTTCCAGGCGGCCCAAGGGGCAACTCCTCAGCTAACAGCAAGCCCCCAAGCCCCGCCGCTGTTTTCACGGATGCCCAGAAAGGGGGTAAAACGCGGGGAAAGAATCCAGCCGGTTCAAACAAACGAAAAAAAAAAAGCCCTCCTCTCCCCGCCCACGGCAAAGCAGCACCGCGGGTCCCGGCGCCACAGCGCCCTGAGGGCGGCCCCGCTCCGCCGCGCGCGCCTCCCGCCTCAGCAGCGGCCGCGCGCGGCGGGGGCGGGGCGCGCCCCGCGGCCGGATGTTGTTGTTGTTGTTCCTGCCCCGCCCCTCGCCCCCTCCCCCCGCGGAGGGTGACGGGCGCTTCCTCGCCCGGAGCCGCCGCCGCCGCCTCAGCCGCCGCCGCCCGCCCCGGCACCGCGGCGTCCCCCGCCCCTTCCCCTCCCGCCCGTTCTCCGCCGCCGGCCCCGTCGCGTCGCCCCGGCTCCTCTCTCTCGCTGTCAGCGGACGCCCCGGCCCGGCCATGGCGGACTTTGACGAGATCTACGAGGAGGAGGAGGACGAGGAGCGGGCGCTGGAGGAGCAGCTCCTCAAGTACTCCCCCGACCCGGTGGTGGTGCACGGCTCCGGCCATGTCACCGTGTAAGGGCCGCGCCGGGGCCTGCGCGGCCGGGGCGGGCGGTGGAGGCCCGGGCGGTGGGACGGGGGCGGCGGCGGCCGGTGGGGCCAGGCGGGGAGGTGGGCGGCGGGAGCACCGGGCCGGGGCTGCTTCCTTCCTTCCTTCCTTTCTTCCTTCCGCCCTTCCTTCCTTCCTTCCTTCCGTCCTTCCTTCCTTGCCCCACCTGGCCCCCCGGCGCTCGTGGGACCGCGGGAGGGCTCTCCCCGGCCCCGCCGGGCGGCTGGCCGGGGGCCGCCTGGGGCTCGCAGGCGGGTGCAGCTCTCCAGCGAGGCGCTGAGCGAACAAGGCTGGTTCGGGCTGTGACTGGCAGAGGAATGTGAAGTATTTGTCCAAAGTGATGAGCTGTCAGGAAGTAAGGTGCCCGTGTTCCTGCGTGTAACAGGTATGTGCCGGCACATGACCGGCTGGACTGTTGCTTAGGGTTGTTTGTGTATCTGTTGCCCACTCCCACATAGCGTGCGGCAGCTAATACAGCTATGAGGACTTTTAAGAAAGAAAAGGCGTCCGTGAGTCAGATAGGTACGTGTAAAATCACGTTAAGTTGTGATTGATACGCGTTGTTCCACTGTGTTTAACATAGGAGTGACTGGGTTTTGTTTTGTGGATGTTTGGGACCTCTGGCGATCTAGCAGCAAGTGACTGTGAGTTAGTGTAGTACTTCTCACTAATGTAACAGATGAGGGTGTCTTTCTTTCGGTCGGTTCTGTCAGGCTCACTCTACTGGAATGTAGCTGTCATTTATGATGTAGTTTCAGAGGCTGAATTATCAACCTGGAGACAAAATGTAGCAGTGCAAACTTTTTTTTTTTTGGTTAGCATTTACTGTTCAGCAGGACTAGGCTTGCAGTAGAAGCATAAAAGTTGAAGGTATTGCAGTCTGTTTCTCTGAGTCCTGTGAACTCTGCTGATTTTTGGATACTAACTTGTGCAGAAATCCGGGGTTAAATTTAGAGTAGTTTTGTGGCATTACTGCTTTAATATTTGGTTGACATTAAGTGATACTAACAGCTGGGCAGTGCTGTTTGCTGTCTGGTTAAAAACAGGAAGGCATGATAGATTGAGAGAGTTTTGGAGGGTTGGAAGGATGTGGACGGGCAGGAGGCTGAGGAGGCCCCATAAAGGAACAGGAGCATTCAGCATATGACTGCTTATTGTGAACAAAAGTTATCACCATCTGGTGACTTCTTTAAAAATAAGATGGTAGCCTTAACCTGTTTCTGGAAAACAGAGCAAACCCACAATTAGATAGTTTTCATATTAGCAAATGCAAAAGTATAGAGAACTGAAATGGAGGCAAACACTGGTTTCTTCTCCAATAGTGGAAGATAGGTTGTGCCAGACAAGATCAAGGCCCGTTAGTGGAATCGTGAGGAAGCTTGCGTAGTGTGTCTATGACTAGTGAGAGCTTTGTGGTTGAAGAAGAATGCTTGCCTCATTAATTGTTCATTAATGGTCACTAGCTCATTATTACTTTGAGATCTTCCTTAAAATATTTGTTCTTTAGGTTTTGGATGAACAACAAAATAGGAACGTGTACCTCCAAAATTAGACAGTTGGTCTTTATCTGTCTTTCTTTATCATACCAGGTGTGAACAGTTCACTAAACAGCATCAGCCACTTTTACCTTTGTACAGCCTATAACTTTTTTTTTGTCGTTGATCGAAAAACTTATTATTAAAAGTTAGATCACTGTCAGAACATTCACTTAACAGATTTAAGGAATAGGTTGAGTCCTATATATATGATGAATTAGTCTTGCCTGGTGTAAAAGCATGCATGTGTTTTGAAGGTCTGACAAAAATTATCATCAGTTAAGCAAATACTGGATTGATCTGTCTCTAGCTCTGCAATTTAAAGTGTTGCTGATTGCTTCTGCCATGTGTATATTTAAACAGAAGCTCTCTTTTCATTGTCTATTGTCATATCCTCTCTGATCTTACATAGGAGTCATAATGTTGAATTTGAAATATGTCATTTCCATGACTACAGATTAATGTCAGAAAGACACTTACTATTACTTGATTTCATCCAACAGACAATGGAAGCATGCGAGAGTCCTTTCTAAGCTGAGTAGTTAAAACTAATTAAAGAAAAGCAGGTAAATATTATCCAGATAAAACATACAATGGGCTTGCCTTTCCAGGATGTGGGGCTTTTGGTTAGCACTAAGAGTTTAAGAAGAAAACTCACTGTTTGGAATGCGCTGCACACAATCCTAAAACGCCTTTTTTTTAAACATTGTTTTTTTTTAATATTCAGTTAAACTGTTTTCACACCAGCAGTTTAGATAGCTCGGTAGTCGGGTGCAATGTTTGACCTGGTTTCTGATAACTTGTGATCTCTTCTAATGGCAGGAAACTTGAAAGCTGAGAAAATATAGAACTTTACTTACAACTGAATTGAAAGTCCAAGGTATTTCATACTTGTTTCTAAAATTGTATTAGGGTGGAAATAGAGGTATGTGATGAGTTTGAAATCACGAAGAGAATATTTGTGATAGGTGTCTGACTGTATTTTTCAGTGACTGTTTTCCTGCGCTTTCCTGTTCCTTGACTAGTTGAGACATGTGCCTTATATATACACCAGACTGTATTAGCTAGTAATAATGGATTTATTAGTCTTTTGCAGTGCTGGAATGATGTAGAGCTATTGTGATGTGCTAGTGAGTGCCTTTCTGTGCTGTTTGTCATCTTAGCACATTGAGTATTGATGCAAGATAGCTGTATGGAGTGGGAAAAACCCTCACAAAATATATTTTCATCAAAGTCAGTTTATTTAATATTAAACTTAAGTCTGCTTACATATTTTTGAACCTTACTCTGTATGAGGGACATGTGAGTGAAAACAGGGCTGTGTGGGGATTATGGATAGGGAATGTTAAGATTTGTGGAATATATATTTGTTTTGGAAGGGTTGTGAACATGTGGAACTGAAGAGTATGGTTGAGAGCACTGAAAAAATGGTTTGGTATCCCTGTAAGAGAGGACAAAGAGGAAGAGGATAGTGTGCGTCAGTTTTACATGTTAGGAAGATCTGAGCTGCAAGCTGAGAAAACCCTTCAGGTTGACTGCCCTATACCGTAAACTTCTGTACTTTGAAGTTTCCACCTCTCGCCACTTCTTTCTGCATTGTACACAAGGGCTAGGAACTCAGCTGAACCCTTCAAGCAGAGTCATCTTCAAGAAACACTTTTTCAGGTTCCTGGAAGGTTAAAGAAAGTACTTATGCATGGGGTGAGCATGGATCTCTTGAAGACATGATGTAGAACGGGAAAGGCATAGAGTAAGCAGAGAAGAGTACGTGTCACTGAAGATGGAGTATTGTACAAAGTAATCTAGTGCTATATGAGGACAGCTGTCTGAGGAAATGCATCTCCAAAATACTGATTTCCAGTGTTTGATTTTTAAGACACTTCCTGCTGCTTTTTTGTCAGAGCTGTTATGACTTTACAGTGGATATGTAATAGTGTTCTGTGGAGTTTCTGATATTTTAATTTCCAAATTGCAGCTTATAGTCAAGAGCAATAATACTGGGATCACATAATTACTTACCAAAGCTTTTAATGTATGGAGCCACTCCTTTTCACTGCCTATGTATGGTGACAAAACTGTAATGCGGAAAGCTCAGAATGATGTTGATAGCTGGTTGAGTTAGCTTTGATGTTTCATTTTCACTACCCCACCGTGGTTTATTGCCACAAGCCTTGAGTACAGAGTCTCAGTCTCATTTGCTTATAACTTCACCAAAGTGCGACTGTACTCGTCAGAAGTTTCTGTGCCTCTCTCTGCCTCAGTGTGTTTGCAAATTCAGGTATCTCTAGAGCTTTTTCAGTAGGGTTGTCTTTGTCAAGCATGGCTTTTGCAATCTCCATGAATATTTGCTTGTGTTTGATGAAGCTGTCAACATTTGAATACTTCTGGATCATGCATTCACCAAAAAATAAAGAAACCCCCCCCCCAAAAAAAAACACACCAAAAAACCCAAAGCCTTTTTTTTTTTTTTTTTCCTGCAATTACATTTTTTGTGACTTAACTGAGAGCAGGGGGAGTTGCTTGTGCCTTTGACTTACCTGCTCATGCCTCAGAGTAAAGGGCTTCCTTAGTATGCTGGGTAGAGGGAAAGCTGAAATTCTGTCTCATCTCTTGGTCAGGGGCCCAGTTTCATTTTAGTTCTTGCAACAAGAGCTGCTTTGGACTGAATTATCCTTGTAGTTGGCCACTCCCTTATTGCTCAATTTTATATTTAATTCCATTATTCATAGTAGATTACTTCTGGATGTTGAAGCATGAAGTACGTGAAGATAATTCTTTGGAGAGGCATCTCTTTAGACATCTGTCTGATTTGATGAATTAATTATATAGTCTAGTGGTGTTACATTTTATTTTGAGGCTTCTAATGGCAACTGTGCATCGTGAGTTTTGAGTCTTTAGTCTTGGCTGTTTATGAAATGTATACGGGTCCAAGGGATTTTTTCAGGCTTTGGTTTCCACTTCAACCTACTGGCAGTTCTAAGTAGCTTAACTGATAGGGCATGACACTTCTTTCTGACATTTACATAACTTTTGACTCGGCACTTGGTTTCACTCAGGATTTTGGGGAAAGGGTGGATGGTGTTCCTCCTGTTGTCGAGTATTCAACAGGATTTTCAATGGCAGAGGTATGTTTCCAATAGGTATGGGTTTTCTTTGTTCTGTGCTGAAGTGGTAAACTTGCCATATATTTCTCTGGTTAACAGTTTTCGTTTGTTACTTTACCAGTTTTGAGGGATATGTAGGAGTGGCAGAGCTACTATTCTAATTAGAAATATTAAAATATGCTTGGTAACTTATATGTGAGTAAGGTCTCCAGGGAGACCTTATTGCGGCCTTTCAATATATAAAGAAGGCTTATAGGAAACATGGAGAGACTTTTTACTAGGGCCTTTAGTGACAGGACAAGGGGAAATGGTTTTAAACAGAAAGAGCATAGATTTAGTTGGATATAAGGAGGATGTTTTTTAAGATGAGGGTGGTGAGACACTGGAACAGGTAGCCCAGAGAAGTTGTGGATGTCCCATTATGGGAAATGTTCAAGGTCAGATTGGACGGGGCTTTGGGCAACCTGATCTAGTGGCAGGGGGGTTGGACTAGATGATCTTTGATGGTCCCTTCCAACCCGAATCATTCAACGTTTCTATGACTCTACTGCCTGCAGTCAATGATAGGGAGATGACTTGTTTACTGTTCCTTAAGACCATATATAAAAATAACCCACAGCTTCAAATTAATAAACTACCTAGTCCAGCGTGCTGTTGCAAACTGTGGCAACAGGCATTGCTACTTATGGGTTGCATGCAAGTCTAGCTGTTCCTGGTGTCTACTCTCCCTGTACTCTCTGGCATTGGCAGTTTTGTGAGGTGATGTATACTTCAACATCATCTTTCCTTTAGTGTCTGTTTGTCAGGCAACTTGTGTAATCTCTCTTAAAATCTGACGCACAGTCTGCGTCACTAATCTCTTGTGGAAACAAACCCAGAATTTTGCTACTTGCAGCTTAAAGAAGCACTTTCTTTCATCTGTTTTAAACCAATCTCCAACTATATTCAGTGAGTGCCCTCTGTTGCGGGATTTGGTGATTAACAGTTAATCATTCACCTTGTCCACTGCTTTTCTGAATCTTTGTACATTGATCATATACCATTCTCAGTCTTCTCTTTTGCAAGTTAATGTCAGCCTTGTTGGTCTCCTAAGGCAGCTGCTTTATTGCCTTAATTATATCAGTTTTCCTTCTTTGCTTTCTCTTAATTCCAAGTTCTCCGTGAAATGTGGATGCCAGAACTGCACCCAGTACTGAATATGTGGGTATATGAGGGTTTTATGGAGAGTCAAAATGATGCCCTCTGTCGCATCTTAGTCACCTTCCTAGTGGCGCCCAGTATTTTATTGCTATTTCTGGCAGCTGCTGCTTGCATTGAGCTGATATTTAAGAGAATGATGAGTGGTGATAAAAGATATCTCTCTCTTGAGCTGTAGATTCCAAACTTTAGTTGAATGTCACATAAGCACAGTTTAACTTTCCCAAGATTCACCAGCTTTTATTGATCCATGTAGAAGCTCATCTGTCACCTTTTGTCCACTGGGTTTTGTGAGGCCTTTCCACAGCAGCTCGCCATTGGTGCAGCACTTATCTGCCCATTTGATTACTTGGACAAAGTTCTCCATTGGCATGCAGATCATTCAGTTCAGTAAGGAAAAAAACCCAAACCAAACCCCTGAGAAATACCTAGCTGCTTAATAAACATACTGTCAGAGCAAATTATGTCTTTAAAATCGTCAGCTATCAAGTCTCAGGTAAGCTTTTCTGCATACAACAAAGCAATGTCTGATATGTTTGCTGCTAATATTCAAGCCTTGAGCAGCTTTATTTTCAGTTTGGGGTTGTAGTATCTGATGGTAAGGCTGCTTTGTTTTATATTCAGAAGGTTATTAATTACAACTTAAATTTTACACTGACTGTTGCTTACCAAATTAGTAGTCAGTCATACAGTTTTATTAATTACTTGGTTAGACTGTGTAGTCCCTATTAGAAGTTATTGACCAGACCACATGCCAGAAAATATTTGAATTTTCTTTGAGGTTTGTCCATTCATGAACCCAACCAGGCAACTGCAAGATAGAATTTTTTTTTTTTTTTATAGACTATGTGAAACTCTTCTAATCTTTAGATCTTCTGAAATGCAAAATAATTAGTAATTTCTGCTCATCTCAAACTGCCTCACAGCTTTACATTCATATTTGTTTCTTTCAAATTAGATATCATTTAAATCGTGTTTTGTCAGGTTGTATTTTGTGTTCTGAAAATTATTAGAGTATTTTTCTGAATAAACAAGCTGGTATTGATTCCATTTTTATGCTTACAACAGTTATTTAGCATGGCCTGAGTGGAATAACACTGGATAAGGTTTTTTTTCAAGATACAATCTGTACTGATGGAGAAGTGGGGTAATTAAAACTGTGACCTTAACTTACTTCCTCTCTCCCCTTAAGTACTTCACTTTTCACACTTGCCACTATTTCTTATAAAGAGTATGCTGAGCTTGGGGAAGAGTCGACAGTAGCAACAGAACTTTAAGAAGGGACTGTAGGCAAGATGGATTTCAAACTGTGTACAAGGGTGTACTTTTGTCTGCTAGGATAATTCTAGGAATTACTTTTAGTAAGTGTCCTCTTCCTGAAAATAATGCTGTTGTGATACAAATCCTGAGAGTATTATGAGGTGCTTGTAACTTGTGGCATGGATTGGGTTTATTTATAATTTTGGTATGATCTTCATCTTGTTTTTGCAGGTTTGGACTAAGCAACAAATTTGAAGCAGAGTTTCCGTCTTCTTTAACTGGAAAGGTAAGTATCTGTGAATAGGAATTTGGAATTAGAGTCAAGATTTTATTATGAAAACAAGAGTTCCAGGTGTAGACCATTGTAAGAGCAATAAATAGCACTGCTGTGGTACTAGTTTGTTGCTTTTTTTTTGTTCTTTTTCCTCTTGTAGGTTGCACCCGAAGAATTTAAAGCCAGCATCAGTAGAGTTAACAGTTGTCTTAAGAAGAACCTTCCAGTTAATGTACGATGGCTACTATGTGGATGCCTTTGCTGCTGCTGCACTTTAGGTTGTAGTATGTGGCCAGTTATCTGCCTCAGTAAAAGAGTAAGTTGAACTATTCATATAATTTTTGATAGAGTTGTACTGGGTTTGTTCTCATTTTGTTGTTTGTATTTTTTTTTTTTTTTTTTCTCCCCACCTTTAAAAACTCTGTGCTAGAACTTACTTAAATCAGTTTGTTTTCATACATATTGGTATCAGTCGTCTATCATACTAGATAAAGTTACAACAGACACCAGTCAGAACTTTGACCTTGTAACTCAGTGAGTGGTAGTATAGCTCAGTGTGTCTGCTAGAACCACGTACTGCACAGAACTTACTATTATTGGAGTAACTTTCAATGTACTTTTTAAATAGTTGCATCTCCTCTGTAATACACTGTTTGGGATTATCAGAATTTGGCAGTGATTGAGTGGCAGTTTGTTTTGAGGAGCTTCTGATTACACTGTGGCCCAAATAGCCATACATTTTTGTTTAAAAAGGCAATTTTAAAAAAGATGATTGATTGATTTTTTTTTTTTTTTTTTTTTTTTTTTTTTTTTTTTTTTTTTTTTGGATTTTCCATCCAAGATGTAGATGAGTAAGGTGTGGGTTATGTTTGTGTTTTTACATTAAGAACTACAAAGTAGTGTTTTGTCTGCATACACTTGGTACTTAGTGTATTGTTCACAACAGAAAGCTCATTGCACATGCCTGTTTTTCACTTCCTTTCCCTCAGTGCACTTAACTAGGTTACCCTACCATCTCTTCTGTTTTCATGTGCATGAAAATTGTCTTTGGCTAGTCCTGTTTCACTACTTTGCAGGAAGTTTCTGTGCTTTGCCATCCTCTTCTCACTATCAGTACTGTTTATCTTCCCATTTCGTGACAAGACTTGTGTATGTTCTCTCTTGTGTAATATTTCTTAATGCTGCAATCATTGTGTGTGATACAGTACAATGAACATCATCATGATTTTTTTTAAGTCCTCATTTTAAAGGATCAGTAAATCAAGGCATTCTAAAAATATTTATAGAATGAACGTTGATCATAACAAAACCTCTACTCATTTTTGTATAATCTAGTTTTCTATGTTAAGATCGTAATGCTTAGTCCCTCTGAGAGATTACTTAAGGTTAGTTTTAATTCTATACAAAATAGGTAGAAAAGCCTCCTGGTAACGTTGGAGTCTGTGGAGGAAAAAAAAAATGGTGGCATCAGTGTGAATTATATCAAACCTAGGTTTCCTGTCTTTAAGGTGACACAAACTCATAAATCTCCTTGGATTATATATTCGTGTCCTGAAAGTCTGTTAGAAGAAATCAGAGTTTGCTGATTGTTTCAACATATAAGTTGGTGACTTAACTAGACCTAGCTCTGTTCATTACAATCACAAGGGAAGTTTGCATTGCTACTGTCCATGTTTAACTTGTAAAGGAGAAAGCTTCTGGTGCTCTTCAGTTTGACCCATTTTTCTCACATAATATGCTGTTGTAGCAGGAAATGATAGCAGGATGTAACATGGTAGGGGCTGATGCCACAAGCCCTCATCTTCTAAATAGGGGCCTCTTAATCTATTATCAGAAGTCACAAGTTATCAACTCTTTATACATTGTTAAACAGTCAGGAAAAAGGTAAGGGCTGTAAGCCTACAAGTATCTGGGGCCAGAAAACCGTCTGAAGCTGAGGACGGAGGTTCTGTGTGGGAACCCAGTGAAGCAACAGTTAAGAGAAGTGCTTCTGTTGAAGTTTGTGGGAGTTAACATAAGCTCCCTTCCAAAAGGGATAAATCTGAAAGGAAAATGCATGGATACTCTCTGCAGAGGAGGTTGGAAAGAGGTTCGTGGTGTAATTGTTGCTGTAATATACAGACTGCATAAAGAGTCTTGGAAAGAGAATGAGCAGCAGGAGCAAGGACAGAAACTTGAGGTTGAAGTTCCAGAAGTCATCCTAGAAGAATGGCTCAGACTGTCAGTAAACGTTGCATTTGTCCTGTGAAAATTTGTACCAGGAGACATTCAAGGACCTTTACACCTTTTTCTGCAGTTAAGATGGATGACTCAAGCTCAAGCTTGGATGTCCAGCACTGTTGAAATTGAGGTTAGGACTCAGCTGCCTAAACACAGTAGCTTGTGCCACTGTGGATGGCACAGTGGTGCTAGACACTGATGGCACTGAATACCTGTGTTTAAGCAGTTTGATTATTCCTCCAGAATGAAAATTGTTTAAGTCAATCTGGAGACTTCAGATCTTGTGACATCATCATTTGTCCGTGTCAGCAGCTCAGCAAATGGATGCCTGCTTAGAGGGCTGTCTGTCAGAGAACCCAGAAGTTGGTGTTGCTTGTGCATCTGGAGATTATAAAATAGAGAAGAATTAATTTAACTTGTGTTCTTAAAGACAAACTGAAAGAGACAAGAATGGTTTCCCAAACTATAACTCCTAATCCTGGACCTGCCTGGGAAAGACTTTTTTTTCCTGGTAGAGGAGGTAAGGAGGAAAGCTCTGGAATATTTTCAAGGACATATTTGCAAATTCTAGTATAGGAAACAAGCAGAAGAATTTGTAATGATTCTAGTCAGGGCTACTGCTCATGGAAGAGCAGTGAAAAGTTACTGCCACTTGAGTTGCTTGAATAGGTATGGGTGGATTCAACTTTATTTTTTGGTTGACCCAGATCAGAAAAGTACAAAGTGATTTAAATCCTTTAAATCCCTCTTACCTGGAGTTATAAGTTTTGTACCCTTTAAGATCTCAGTACTGAACTGAGTACCCAAGCTTGTAAGATTTCTTTTATGCAGGACTTCCCATCAGTTTGTCAGAGTGCTATGACAAGTACAGGAAACTATCATATGTATTTTACTGGAAGTGGGAAAAGTGAGAGACAGTGCATGATGTGAATTACCTGGAGCTGCTCAGCAAATTGACAGCACTTGTAAATACAACCTGGTTCATCTATGTTCCAATCTGTAATTTGCTTAGTAGATTCCAGTAGAACTGTGACAAGAAGCAACTTCACATTCTTCCACTAAAAAAAATTGAAATCCATAAACTCTTTTGATTTGCTGCTAGTGGCACAGTTTTGCTGATACACAGCAGACTAATGTATTTGGTGTGAAGTAATCACATTTTGAACTCTTGTACTGCTCATCGCTGACTCTGTTGCATCTTGGAAGAGGGTTGTGTTGATCAAATGATCTTCCGTGCTTTGACTTCTTCAGAGCTACTTTCGCTGGTCATACTCCAGCCATAGGTATAGTCACAAGAGCCAGGATTCACTTCTTGAGGAAACAGGGATCCAGGATGACATGTGCCTGTTCCTTCCCTTCAACTTTTAGATACAGTGGATTCTTTCCCACTGGCACTCATAATGTAAAACATTTATGACAAGTGAACAGTAATAAAAGGTTACTTATTTTACAGTACCTGCACATGCCTGAGAAATGTTGCCTAGAGAGTTTTGCTAATTCAGCCCTGTCCTAAGTGATTCCTGGTGAAAGGACAGTTACTTGGAATTTTGCTGCAGTGATCACAAAAGATTCCCAGGACCATATAATTAGAGTTTGATTTCTGAAAGCAGCATGGGAGTGTTCCTGTGTAGAACTGAAATTTGTGTAGAATATGTTTTAATTGCACAATAAAAATATACCAGCCTTACTCTTTGCTCTTTTCTACTGAAATAGAAGACTAACAAATCTGTTTTGTTAAATTACATTTACAGTGAGCTAACAGGTGGGAGTGTTTCTCAAATTAAGGAGTTTTAAATTAACTGTTTCAACTATACAATTGCTTACTTTTAATACAAAAGAGTAATTTTTCTCAGAATGACCAATTAAGAAATGCCTGTTTTAATGAGGATGAATCAATCTACCATGCTGTTAAATTGCTGGTATACTTCACAGCTGTTTGTCAGAGAAACATTTTTTAAGGTTCATGTAGATAAAATGAAAGCTTCAGTGTTTATGAGGTTACAATAATTCTCTTAATCTTTCTCTGTATTCTGTATTTTAAATCTTTCATTGACTTTTAAAGTTCTAATGGAATATTATCACAAATGTAAATATGATTTTTTAAATTACTGACAATTATTGAAAGTTTGTGGGTAATGGAAATACGTGCTTATTTTTGTGCAGTGAAAAATAAGTTATGGGTTTGGCTGCTTAAATCAGCAGGTGCTTCAAACTAGGAATTTATTAAGTCACAGACATTTGTAAGCTTAATTGTTAATTATATCACTTTAATGCATTTCAATGCAATGAAAGCGTTCCCTTCACTGTATTTTTCTTTTCAGTGCTTTGTTCAGTGCTAGTTTTGGAAGTCTTTGTATAGTATTGTTTTCTTCTTTTGCACTGAGGTATTTGAGAAAAAGCCTGCTACTCTTCGCCAGTAGAATAAATGTTTAATTTGATTCAATATCTTATTGCCTCTCTCCTTTTATGTGGTCTTGATTCAATTTTAATGAATAAAAGCTGCAAGAACGTTACAGGAAATACAGTCCCTCATTTGCAGATCTAGATCGTCAGTGATCTTCAGCAGTTTTACTCATAGATTGTACCATCCTTCCTGGGACAAGTTCCAGATTGTACAAATGAACATTAAGTCTATAAGTTATTGTTCTTTAAACAAAAAGAATGACATAGTGAATTATAATTCAAAAAGCACTACAGGCTGAGGTGCCCGTTTGAAGCCACTTTTTCAAATGAATTGACACTCATTTTCAGTGTTAACTAAATGCTGTAGTTCCTGATGTGTAAATAGGATAAATAATTTCAACAGAAATGGTAACAATGAAAGCTGATAGAATTGCAGTACTGCTAGATTTCTTAAAAGCTGGTATTGTACATGTAAATTGCATGTTTCAGAAGGTTCATGGGCAATTTCTTAAAATGAATAGAATGAGATTTAATAGTCATCTGTACTAATAATTTCAAGAGCTACTTGTTTGTTTGTGAACTCACACAAAGCTGATGAATGCTGCTTAAGCCTCATCATTAGTTGTCACTTACGTAGCAGTTTACATCTTCAGAGTGCTGTATAAACATAAGCTAATTACAACTTCCAAAGTA